AAAAAAAAAAAAAAAAAAAAAGTCACTTTATTGCAATCATATCTTTTCTTTTTTTTTAATTTATCATTATCATTATTAGAGTAATTTCAACCTCCGTTCTACTGGAGGGGAATGTTGCCACACCCCAAAAATAGAAAAAAGAAAAGAAAAGAAAAAAAAAAGTTGCCCAAACCGGTTGCATCGCTCCTTTTTCACATTTTACTCGCGCCGGCGTTGTTGACGCCAACACCAAATGCTCATCAGCTCTGCGTCCAAAGCTGAAATGCAGAATTTTGATGATCCATCTGAAAAAAAATGATACTGAATTAATCAAGTCACGATTCACGATGATGTTCGTTGAGTCCAGCTACCGTCTTCTTCACCCGAATAGAACGCCCGGTCATTATCGCTTGTGTTCTAGGCACAACTTTCAGTCTAGATACAGCTATAATGACCGGGCGTTCTATTTGGGTGACGACGCTAACGCTTCTCGACTTGCAGCAAGCCGAATATCCAGAGTGCAGAAATGATTGCACAAGTTCTTGGTAGAGAGCCTTTCTCAGAGAAGATAGCCATGTTTGACAGTGCTTTTTTTTTTTTTTTAATAATTTGACAATAATTTTTTTTCGCCGCATTTCCAGAAATCTTTCTTATAAATGCTCGGTCGAGCCTTCTTCCACTTTCTTTTTTTTTTTTTTTAATTATTGGTAGATAACGTGTGTGTGGAGGAGTGAATGGTTTGTTTTCCCAGGAGGGATTGATATTTTTAATTTCATAGTTTTTAACTTTTAATTTAGTAATTTTTAATTTAATAATAATTAAAAATTTAATATTTTTAATTTGATGCTCCAAGGACTGAGCTGTCTATTATGGAATAGGTGGTTATTGAAATTAAGAGAAAAAAACAACGGCGCAGTCAGGGTTTGAGTTTGAAAATGCACTTGTCCAATGAGGTAAAAGGGTCAGTAAATTATTATGTTGAAATGTATATAACCTAGATTTGGGGTCAGGTGGGGTCACGTGGGGGTGTCTTGTGTTTGCGGGTTTGCCTGAAGTGCGTAGATTTTTTTTCAAACTGTTTTCGTGACTGCGCCGAAGTTACCCCTTAAATTAAATCTCTCCTCGAGGAATTAGAAGCATGGTGGATGGCCCGGACCCCTCTTTTTTTTCCTTCCCCCCGCCTCCCCCCTGTTTTTCCTCTTCCCCCCCTCCCCTTAACGCCTTTCTTTACCCATCTCTAAAGCGAAAACGACAAATTAGAATCAGGTCTGTGTCGGAGCCGGGATACCTCACTAATTTGTTGTTTTCACATGTAGAGAGAAATTGATGTTTTCACTTGTAGAGAGAATTGGAAAGGTTCATCTGTGCTCCCGCCAAAAAAGGACCAAAAAAAA